CACATCAAGCATTGAGTGTTGCAATGTCACCTCCAGTCACTGCTTGGTTTGTAAGCGAATCAAAAGGATATTAATGTTACGAAAACTGGGGCGCTATTGGATACTAGGAAAAGTAGCACAGCAAAGTCTGTGCTCGTCACCACACCTCCGACATCTGTCTGACTTCAGTCTCTTAGTGCCTCGTGTGACTAGCTCAAACACTCTTTACGGCCAAAAGCGTAGGTCCTGACCACCTCCCGAACTCTTGTGAACGTGCCAAGAAAGTTCTGTTGACTCACATGTTCACGGTTCGTTCGCCTTTGGCCCAAAAACACGCTATTGGGCTGGGATGCGTTGGGCCAAATGGCCGCCGTCCCTTCCACTGGTGTGACCTGCCGGCGACATTGGATCCCTACATCGACTCCTACATCTGGAGACATCCTTTTAATGTAATGCCCTTGTTACTAGTAGCTTCTTGTTACTAGTAGCGTGGCACTTGTTCCTAGTAGCTTCTTGTTACGAGTACTACTAGTAAGGCACTTGTTACTAGTAGCGATGCACTTGTTCCTAGTAGCTTCTTGTTACTAGATGTCCGTTTCCAACATCCCAAGACAATTCTGGTTGTCTTGAGAAGTCTTGGGTTCAGTTCAGGTAGCTAGGGTTGTTTACATGTGTTTGTTCTCATTGGCACCTTGATGACACCTCCTCTATCCTTCTCTGATCTTCTCTGATCTTTGTGAAGGACACAAGAAAGGTGTCAATGGAAGCCACCGATGCAGTCAGTGCCCTGCCCTTGCCTGAAGATTCAACTGGTTGAATTCTGTCTCGCCCCCAGCGCCAGCAGGAAGTGTCTTCAGGTACACCAGGATTGTTGCAACCTGAAGCATTGTTGATGTGACGCCATGTGACGTTCACACAGCACAGGCTCGCGAATTGCAGGTGCGCCAATGTCCATCATACGTCCGAAGCATAGACAATGCCTTCAAGTCACCCGCTGACCAAAGATCCAAATGCCATTGAAGTTGGCTGATCGCCAATCGAAATGCCTGGAGTTGACTCGAAATCCACGACAACCCTTGCCACACAATCAATGCGGCGTGCTTTGGAGATCGACAAAATGCAAGCCCACAGCAGTCATCCTACTTGCGCCAGGGGCAGTCCTCGATTCAGTTTTTCACCTTTTCAGTTTTTCGGCTTCGGTTGCCACATCAGCTCCCTCGCCTTTTGTACTCCTGGCCACAGGAATATCGGGCGATCCTCGGCTGTTGCCAGCCGATTTCAATTTCATGTTGTTTGATTTGTCATTTTGCGCTTTCTTTTCAACAATAACGCTCTGTCCCAGGGGCTGCAAAGGCTCCACAAAGTCCGTGGGGAGGCCCAGCAGTTGCGCCGCCCAGGAACGAATCCCATACAAAAGCTCATCCTCCTACCGATCGAAGTTGGCTGTCAGGAGCGTCAAGAAGGCCGGAGAGAATATCATTGGTATGTGAAGAGCATGATTGCCAAATTCACTGGGTTCCCTGTTGGAATATCGATGTATTTGTTGCACTGCGGAGATGGGTGAGGAGGGAGGGGACGAAAGCCAGGGCAACTTTTTCATGCATGTCAATGTCAATGCCCGTCACATTGATGATCTTTCACGGATGCTGGAAGTGCCATGTGTCTAGACTGGGTTACGCATCGCTCAACACACCCAAAATGAACACAAAATCGGAAAAACATACCGCCCTCTCTCTCCCCACCTCCACCTAATTTTACGAGGAACATGGCATCTCTCGCCTACTCTGCCCCACGCAAACTCTGGGACCTAGCCGAATGCTGGATCCTTGATGAGACCTTTGAGCGAATAGATCGAACACATGTGTGTTTAAAGTAGTCAAAGCCCCGTTTTTCCTCGTGATGTGGCAAGTTGAATGTAGCCGTCGCCTCGGGCAAGCACATCCAAACAGCTATCCAAATCCCACTGGAAGGCTCCTTGACGACTGCAAACACTTTCAGCTGAAGCTGTCAGGCGGAAATGACATTGATTGAGATCATCCAAGATCTATCTTTTGTCTTGACAGGTGAGGGGAGGGGGGTTCAGTACTGCGTCCCATTCGATGCTACCCAAGGAACTGATGTTCGAATGTTGTTCATGACCACTTGCCGGCTTCCGCCCACCACCGTGGAGTTCTGCCAAAGTCCCTGACAGCCAAACGATCCAGGCCCCGTTTAGTTTTGGAGCCGCTGTGGACTTCGTGGGTTGGCATGAAAAGCAATGAACAAGTGTGGTACACTGCGAACTTGGAACACCTTCTGGTGATTCTAGCGCAATCCGATTGGTCCTCTTTCCGTCTATCTCATCTGCTTGAGCCTGTTCCTTTTCTCCGCCCGCTTCAAAGAAACGCTACGCCGCTACTCCAAAAGAGTCCTTGCCTCTTGATCTGCTTTTCTGATTAGCTCCGCACAAACATCCGGTGGGAGTGCTTGCTGCCTTCGCAACCTTGCCACGATTCATGACAGGTAGAGGGCACATGCCAACTTGAGAAGCAACAAAAGAATCTCAGGTATTGTCGTTGTGTACACTGTCGACAAAATTCTACAAAATCCATGTTGCAAAGGACGACTGTGCGTACTTCTAACTATGAAACATGCGGTTGGCCTGAAGAATGCTGCATTACACAGCAAAGTTTGCATTTTGAAGTGGCCAAGCTCTGTCGTCAACCCCAAGGAGATGAACTCAAACAGTGATGGGCCAAGCGGCAGAGGGAAGGGGTCCCTGCTTAAGCACTGAAAGCCGCTCCTCAGCCGTTGAGCAGCCCAAGGGGGATCGATACTAAACGTGGGGCATTGTCTAAACACAAAGGTGGCACAAAACGAGCAAAGAAGCTGTTAGAATCTGTTAGCACCGAGCTAGAAGCATAGCTGTGTATCCTTCGTATCCTTCCGAGCTGCTGTTGCCCTAAGGCTGAAAGACGCTGAAAAAGACTCTGCGCCAATTGAGGATCGACATTGGCCGTGGGAGGTCCAAAGATCTGAGAGCAATTGAAACCTGACGGCCACGGCCGCTAGAGGTAGCTAGAGGTAGCTAGTACCTACAAGTGGACACTACTAGTAACTGGACAGATAACTCACGCTTCGAAGCTCCGCCCACCGCCCTAAAGGCGAGGGAAGCTTCCTTGAAGAAGCGTTCGCACTGATTTGGTTCCATTTTTAGACATCAAGTAAGGGAGAAACTAGTTCGCTACTAGGCAAAGTTAGCTGCACGCAGGATAGCTCACGCTAATGATTTGCTTCCTGGATTTTTTAGGGAAACTTAAAACGTTCTTCGCCTCTGGAGTATCTCTATTATTTGAGACGTTGACATTGGGACTGGGACCTAGAAGCTTCAGAAATCACTCTAGTCTGAATGTTTTCTAAATTGTCTTTGCCAAGGTGCCCAAGTTGCCTGAGGCCCAACAAAAGACGGACCTCTCCTGGTCGTTGGCCATTTGCTTCACCCCGTCCATCTTTCCTCTCGTGGTGACGGCACGTCTGCATTCCAAGCGGATCAGGAACGATCTTAGTAGGTCCCATTCTCAGTAACTAACTGCGTTGGTTTCAATGGTGTTTGCAAATTGCTGTTCCTTCAACCCCTTTTAACAAGGACGCTACTAGGGGCTCCTGGCCTTGCTACTAGTAACAAGGACGCTACTAGGGGCTCGATCAGATTACAGTAAGCCTTTTAAAGCGCTCTGCCGCCCTTAAGTCTAACTTGGTCGTTCCAAGCCACGGAGGAGGGTGGCAAAGACCCCCTGATGGGCATAGCGCACTTCCGAGAAGGACCAAGCAAGTTCCTCACAAAAGCTTCTCTGAGTCCGCTCGTCAACATCTGCTTGGTCCTCCCATATCACTGACTTCAAAGTGTCCAAACTGGTACCCCTTGAGCTTGGACATAAAACAACTTTACCTGGACACATCTAGTGTTCTCATTTGTGCAAAGTACTTGCTGGGAAACCTATCTGCATCATCACATGGACGTCTAGTAGGAGGAGTGCCGCCACTGATCTCACTGAATACCAAATCATCTTGACTGAGAAGTGTTCGTCGGAAAGTACCTTTGCATACCTTTACAGCCATCGCCATTAGGTTGGAGGCCATCGCGAGTAGGTTGGAGGCCATTGCCATTCCTTTTGCTATTAGGTTGGAGGCGTGAGTCGTTTGACCACCGTAGAGCTGGATTGCAAGCGGCCGCTAGCTTATTAATCTGGTTGTTGAGGAGAGAATTGGTGAATCGGAGGGCACACGGTATCTAGTCACTCTAGTCCATCCTTTGCTGATCCTGTTGACCCATTCTCAGCCAGAGTTTCCGCCAGTGCCCGTGGGCTGAAACTGTGAGGGCCTGCAGACCAAGTTTAAGGGATGCAAGTGACTATGAGAAAAACATAAATGCAAGTGACGAGGTCACACTGTTCTGGGTAACCGGTGTGTTTTTGCGGATAGTTTCTCACATCACATCCCGCCTGCCGCGACGATCAAACATCTTTACGTAAGCAAACCAAAACGAAAACACCAATTACATGTCCCCCCGGAGTATTCATCTTAGAGCACTGGACACAGTCTTCAAGCTCGTTCTTGCCATAGCTAATGGGTACCACCCCACCGGCGCGTCGTGGACTGTCTGAAACGTGTTGTGAGAAGGTGGTGGGCGGGGTGGGTTGGCGGGGGTTGGACCGGGATAATGACGTTCATGTATGTTCATGTTACATGTGAAGATTGTTCATCTTTGCAAAGCAACATTACAAAAATTCATGCTGGTCATAGGTACCAGAATTAGTGTGGTGTCCAGAGTCATCGATCTCACTTATCCACTGGACCTTTTTTGGCTTAGAGGATGACGGTGTCGGATGTTACGACTGCTTTTTGTTTTGTTTTGCTGTTTCATTTGTGTGGTGTTAGGGAACCCCCACATAGGGATTTGCTGTGTCTGGGATCCTCTTTCATTTGAACCTTTTTTGTTAGATCAATAGTACATTTAAAATGACATCTTTACGGTGCCCTTGTTGGATGACACCCTGAACTTCGTTGTGCAAACATGTTCTATTTTCGACGGGACTTATATAATTGGATTATATTGGATTATATAATTGGATTATATTGGATTATATAATCGCCAAGCCCAATTCAACGGCTCAGTGAACCCGCAGCTCAATACAATGTGCGCAATCTTGCAAAGGATTCGCCGGTGAAACGCTTGGCAAAAGCATTGCTCAACTTCCAGAAAGGGTGAGGAAAAAAGCTCGAGATGTTTTCATCAACGTTTGAAGCTCCATTTTTGGAAACGCTCAGAAACCTGCATGTTGCACACTATTTGACCCTCAAAACGTGCGACGCCTGAGTGGGGTCGGCCTCTAGTTCATACACGCTGGAAGTTGTTCTTCCTGTGAGTTTGTTAGCTTGAGCTTGAAGAAATATGAACATAGATGATAATGTAAGTATTCAAAGTCACCACAAACTGAGAGCCAACAAAAAACAAACGGTTCAAAGCTCCAGAGCACTGCTTACCCTTGCCTGAGGCGATGGTCTTAGCCAGCTCCTTGCATTGCGCATGTCTCACGGCATGTCTAAACAGTCTCACGGTTTGCTGTCAGCGCTTGTGCTGGCATTGGAAGCTTGTGCTAAGAGAGAAGCGAGCCTAATGGGGCACTCATACATCTGATCCAGTTGCGCCTTTGACTGTGTTCACAAGCGCGAACCACTTTACATCCGATTTACTGCTCAACCGCTGGTTCAACCTTGAACCCTCTACCCCCCTCCGCCAAACAGGAATCTCATGTGATGTGTCCACTTGGCTCCACTCCTGCCATGCACTGCCTTCACGGACGCCGGCATAGCAAAGCGCCAAGCTGGTCACTGCCACTGTCTCTGAAGGGGCGTTTGGGAGCAATGACCTGCGGTCGAAAACCGAGCAGGAATACAGGGACCATGCAAAAGCCACATGCAAACGAAGCACGAAATAGTACGAAGGTCAATCAAAGCCTTTGAAACAGTGTATCCACTTCTATACACCAAATAGTATGGCTGCCCAATCAAAGCACTCAAATGATCAAACAGTTTGGAGCTATGTGGAGCTTGCTGTCAAACATCAAGACGTCATGTCTGTGTCCTCAGATTTAGGAGGATTTTAGCGATTACCCGGGAGCGCGAAAAGGTCCAGGCCATACCTGGCCTCAGCGCGAGCCCCAGCATTGGATGCAAAGGCAATAGCTTCTTCCGACTTTTCAACTTCACAAAGTTGTGGAGGAAGCGAGCCAGACCCTCAGACACAGCAGCAACTTTGGAACCGCTTTTTTGTTCCTTACTGGAAGTCTGTGACATCTGGAAATGCTTCTACATACGTGAGGCCGTTCTAGTGGAGTCTGCTCTCTCCAAATAGGAAAATCCTTGCGTCGCCTCCATCTTTGAGCGCTCCAGCAATGGCAACATCTCCTCAAACCGCACAATATGTTGGCTGCTAGGCCGTGTGGGAGACATGTTTCTGAACCCATATGGACGACAGCATTCAACAAGTCTTTGGTGTTTTTTTGCGTTCCACTTTCTTCGTCATGAACACTCCCAGGGCATGCATCACTCGTCGTGAGAAACATGGGTTATCCATCATTCCACCACTTGCCAACTGCTACCCACCTACCCCTTCCCTCTCCCTCTGCAACGCATTGACATAGGATGCCACTCGCCTTGGATTCTCCAGTCGTCTGTCGGGCTTCTCAAGAAGGAATGAAGACTCGGACCAAAAAGACTCGGACCAATTGATCTGGAGGGTCCCTTGCATTCCCACTCCTTTTAGGTTGGAGGCCATCGCTATTAGGTTGGAGGCCGCTAGGTTGGAGGCCAACACTGCTAGGTTGGAGGCCAACACTGCTAGGTTGGAGGCCAACGCTGCTAGGTTGGAGGCCAACGCTATTAGGTTGGAGGCCAACGCTGCTAGGTTGGAGGCCATCGCTATTAGGTTGGAGGCCAACGCTGCTAGGTTGGAGGCCATCCCTATTAGGTTGGAGGCCATCGCTGCTAGGTTGGAGGCCATCCCTATTAGGTTGGAGGCCATCGCTGCTAGGTTGGAGGCCAACGCTGCTAGGTTGGAGGCCAACGCTGCTAGGTTGGAGGCCAACGCTGTTAGGTTGGAGGCCAACGCTGCTAGGTTGGAGGCCAACGCTGCTAGGTTGGAGGCCATCGCTATTAGGTTGGAGGCCA